ATTTGAGAGATGAGGAAACAGCTCAAGCTTAAGGAACTTGCCCAAGTTCACAGAGCCAGAAAGTGGCTCAACCAGGAGTTAAGCCCAGGGCTCAGGGTGGGGCTGAGCCCAGATGACTGGCCTCTCCCCGCAGGGCTCAGGAGGTGAAAGAGAGCCCCTTTTTCCGCTCCCTGGACTGGCAGATGGTCTTCTTGCAGAAGGTAACAGTCTGCGGCAGGGACTGGGGGTGCTCTGCAGTCCCACCCCCGAGCTAATGCCCTGTTCTGCTGCAGTACCCTCCCCCGCTGATCCCCCCACGAGGGGAGGTGAACGCGGCTGACGCCTTCGACATTGGCTCCTTTGATGAGGAGGACACAAAAGGAATCAAGGTACTGGGCCTTGCCTGGCCTCTTGTACCTGGGCTCTGATCCTGGCCTGGGGGAGGATCCCTGTCCCTTCTTATCACCCGTGAGACCCTGTGCCAGCCCTGCCAGCTTGTAGGCCTCAGCTCCTCCTCAGCCAACTTCCCTGGGGGTGGCAGTTGCACTGACCATCCCTACCCAGGGCCCTGGGTCTGGGCAGCCTGTGGCTGATGGTATTCCGGCATCTCTGTCCATTCATGTGCCCCTGCCCCATCCACCTGGTAAAGTTACTGGACAGTGATCAGGAGCTCTACCGCAACTTCCCCCTCACCATCTCGGAGCGGTGGCAGCAGGAGGTGGCTGAGACTGTCTTCGACACCATCAACGCTGAGACAGACCGGCTGGAGGCTCGCAAGAAAGCCAAGAACAAGCAGCTGGGCCATGAGGAAGGTGAGGGTCGCCGGCTGCTGCGGCACCAGGCCCCTGCCTGCTTAGAAGTGAGCAGCTGGCTCGGGTTTAAGGAACTCGCCCTGGATCACAGCCAGAAAGTGGCGGCTCTGGGATTGAAACTCAGGCTGGGGCCGGGCGTGGTGGCTCACGCCTGTAATCCCAGCACTTTGGGAGGCCAAGGAGCGCAGATCACTTGAGGTCAGGAGTTTGAGACCAGCTTGGCCAACATGGTGAAACCCTGTCTCTACCAAAAAATACCAAAAAAAATTAGCCGGGCATGGTGGCACGCGCCTGTACTCCCAGCTACCCGGGAGGCTGAGGCGGGAGGATCGCTTGAACCTGGGAGGTGGAGGTTGCAGTGAGCCAAGATTTTGCCACAGCCCTCCAGCCTGGGCAACAGAGTGGAGACCCTGTCTGAAAACAACAAAAAAGAAACCCAGGTGGGGCCGGCTGAGTCTCCTCTGTCTCTCACCTCAGACTACGCCCTGGGCAAGGACTGCATCATGCACGGCTACATGTCCAAGATGGGCAACCCCTTCCTGACCCAGTGGCAGCGGCGGTACTTCTACCTGTTCCCCAACCGCCTGGAGTGGCGGGGCGAGGGCGAGGCCCCGGTAAGGAGCCCGTGCGGGGGTCTGGGAGCTGGGCTTCCAGGTGGCCGACCGGCCCGGCTCTTACCCGCACCACCCATCCCTGGCCCTGCAGCAGAGCCTGCTGACCATGGAGGAGATCCAGTCCGTGGAGGAGACGCAGATCAAGGAGCGCAAGTGCCTGCTCCTCAAGATCCGCGGTGGGAAACAGTTCGTTTTGCAGTGCGACGTGAGTGGGGGCTGGGCTGGGGGTGGGAGGGCCAAGGGGCCAGGTCAGGCAGGCTGGGGAGAGCCCCAGCTAACAGAGCTGGGCTTGGCATGTGTAGAGCGACCCTGAACTGGTGCAGTGGAAGAAGGAGCTGCGTGACGCCTACCGCGAGGCCCAGCAGCTGGTGCAGCGGGTGCCCAAGATGAAGAACAAGCCGCGCTCGCCCGTGGTGGAGCTGAGCAAGGTGCCGCTGGTCCAGCGCGGCAGTGCCAACGGCCTCTGACCCGCCCGCCCGCCTTTTATAAACCTCTAATTTATTTTGTCGAATTTTTATTATTTGTTTTCCCGCCAAGCGGAAAAGGTTTTATTTTGTAATTATTGTGATTTCCTGTGGCCCCAGCCTGGCCCAGCTTCCCCGGGAGGGGCCTGCTTGCCTCAGCTCCTGCTGCACCAACCCAGCCGCTGCCCGGCACCCACCGTCCTGACCCCAGGGGCTGCCCACTCCCAGTGTCTTCCTGTGGGGGAAGAGCACAGCCCTCTCGCCCCTTCCCTGAGGGATGATGCCACACCAAGCTGTGCCACCCTGGGCTCTGTGGGCTGCACTCTGTGCCCACGGGCACTGCTGAGTGGCCCAGCCTCCCTCACTGGGGTGGGCGCAGCACAGGGATCCGACTGAATTTTCCCACTGCACCCCTCCTGCTGCAGAGGGGCAGGCCCTGCACTGTCCTGCCCCACAGCGTTGGTGAGAGGAGGGGCCTGTTGTCTCCCTGGTCCCCAAGGCCTCCCACAGTGACTCGGGCTCCTGTGCCCTTATTCAGGAAAAGCCTCGGTGTCACTGGCTGCCTCCACTCCCACTTCCCTGACACTGCAGGGCTCGGCTGAGAGGGTGGCATTGGCGGCAGGTGCTGCTACCCTCCCTTCTGTCCCCTCTTGCCCCAACCCCCAGCACCTGGGCTCAGGGACCACAGCAAGGCTACTGTGGGTTGGGCCATACTGGCCTCGCCTGGCCTGAGGTCTCCCCGATGCTGGGGCGGGTGCGACCCCTTCTGCCCAGGACGGGGCCGGCCAGGTGGGCGGGCAGCACATCAAGGAGGCTGGCTGGGGACTGTCAGTGTGCCCCCCACCCCGGCCCATCAGTGTACCCTTGCCCAGGCTGGCCAACCCCACAGCCCACGTCCTGTCAGTGCCGCCACCTTGGGGCGCCGCCTCGCCCACCGCATGCCCCCTCGTGCCAGTCACGCTGCCTGTGTGGTGTCGCGCCTTCTCCCCCCCGGGGCTGGGTTGGCGCACCCTCCCCTCCCGTCTACTCATTCCCCGGGGCGTTTCTTTGCCGATTTTTGAATGTGATTTTAAAGAGTGAAAAATGAGACTATGCGTTTTTATAAAAAATGGTGCCTGATTCGGCTGTCTCAGACTCTTTGTACCTGGTGACTGCTTTTCAGCCTCTGCTGGGCTGGGGCCTGAGCGGGAGGGTCTCGGTGGTACCAGGTCTCCACCACCACCACGGCTTCCAAGGTGGCCTGCTGGGGCCCAGGCCATCTTCCAGGTGGGGTGAGGCAGTGAGTCCCACTCCCCGTCCTGCCCTTCCCAGCTGGCAGTCCTCCCGCCTAGTGGCTGTCCAGTGCCCATTCCTCACCTTTTCTCAGGGAGGAGAGAGCAGCTTCTGCCACTTACCAGGTAAGTAGGAGGAGGTGCCAGCAGTGTTACATCTGGTGCAGTGTCTGGGCTGACTGCGACCTTCTCAGGCCCACAGAACACCCCTGCACAGCAGGCTCCAAGCTGACGCCCCTCCCCAGAAACAGTCACAAGGCATGTCTGCTCTCTAGATCGCGCCGCAGGCCCTTGGCCATCTCTGGCTTCAGCCTCCTCTCTGTTCTCACTGCACAGCCCTAGTAGGGGTCCCTGAGGCCTGAGGGGAACCCCAGCACTAGGCCTCTCCTGTACCCAGAGGCTTCTGGTCAACTTCCCTTTCCTCACATCCCTGGCCTGCGGGCCCCCGGGGTGACTACACAGATGGGTGGTGTTGCCCACTCCACACAGGGCTTTGCTGGGCATGGCTGGGGCCCATGGCCAAAGCACAGCATGCCAGGCAAAGAAGGGAGGCAGGCATCTGGGCAGGGTACTCTGGGCTGAATACAAAAGAGTCAGGGGCAGTGGCTTTTGAGCCAGGCCTCCAGCATTGGTGTGGGAAGGAAGGAGGACATTTCTGAGGCAGGGAAGAGCCAGGGACTCATGAGTGGCCCAGGCTGGCCGGAGGACTATGGGAAGGAGCCATGCCTGGAGGCCCTGAATGCCTGGCTTAACCTATTCCAGAGCCAGGTGTGTGCTTGGGGACTGTAGAATGAAGATACAAACGACATGGAGTCCAGACCGGCCGTGCTCAGGGAGCCCTTGAAGGCGCTGAACAGGGCTGAGGGTAGTGAGAGCTGGCTCTAAAGTGACTGCTTGGTTACTGAGTGCAGGATGTGGGGAGGGAGGCGAAGGACAGGAGGCAGGGAGACAAACCGCTGCAGTGGGAGAGGAGGAGATGAAAAGAGGGCAAATGGGAAGAATGTGGTCCAGCAGAAACAGGCTGGACTTGGGGCTGAGCGAGGCAGGAGTCTGGGAAAGGGTAGGTGTGGTTGGGTTGGCTTCAGACACACTGATGGGATAGCATGGGACCCCTGGGCACAGAGATGTCCTGGAGTAAGCTGAAATGTGGACTTGGGGATGGCATCAGGGTGACAATGGGAATGGACAGGCTCTCTTCCAGGGACGTGGGGTCAGGGAGAGAGAAAAGGCCGTGGAAGAGGGTTGAGAAGGCACTGTCATGGAATTAAGGGCCAGTGGAAAGCTGTGTTCAAGATGGCAGAAATCAGGAGAGGCTGGAACCAAGAAAGTCCTGTCGGGTTGAGTTTGGGGAGGGCTCAGGGAAGGGACGGCCTCTTTGAGAAAAGTGGTGGCCAGGGAGGGTTGCAGCAGTGGTGAGCAGGTGAGCTGGTCTGACAGCTCTGGACATTCAGAAGCCTTCGGGCTGCTATCAACCCCAGGACCTCACGGATGACACTATAGCGTGGGGTGGCAAAGTGATCCCACATGGCACAGGTGCCGTGTGATTACAAGGAGAAGGCGGGGTAAAAATGGCAATCAGGCCTTCCAGCCCAGAGTCTCAGAACTGAGGACGCCCTACAGCAGGAGGTGACGCTCAAGCTAGCTGGCCCTCCTCAATCAAGCTATCCTGCCATGTTCCACGTAGGGAAACGGAGAGCAGAGGGTCAGCCTTGGCCACCTAACAAAACCAGGGCCCAAGACCCCAGGCTGGGCCTCCAGTAATCAAGGGCCGGAACTGAGCTGACGGAGGCCTGCACCCTAGTTCCGGTGTGGGTGGAGGGGCCGGCCCTGATTTCGAAACTCGTCTTCCTCTCCTGACGCTGGCAGCCAAGTGCAGCCTCTGCAAAAGGGACTCGTGCGGCAGGCGAAGGCAGCCGTTCGCCGCGGGCGGTCCTCCGCCGGGACGGCTCTGCCGCTGCCTGGGCCTGCGCCCCTCTCTCCCCGAACTCCTATCCCTGACTTCAGGGCCCCGGGGGCCGCCTCCCCACATCGCTAGGCCTGCAGACACCGGCCAAGTGCCAGGGGAAGGTGCTTCCCACTCAGCCGGCGAGCACTTAGTGGCGTCTGCTAGTTGCTCGTCTCCAGGATAGGTGCTCGGTGATGCGAGGGGAGCCGGGGCGCCCCACTTCACCCGCAACCCCCGGCAGAGTCGGTGACCGCGGGACCTGGGGTAGGAAGACCCGGGCAAGCAAGGGGATCCGCGAGGGAAACGCAGGTATCACGGCTGTAGCAGGACCGCGGCCCGCCGCGCACGCGCGCGCAAGACCCAGGGGACCAGTGCCCGCCCCACCCGGGCCCCGCCTTTCCCTTCCGGACCCGCCACCGGGGGTCTGCGCAGGACTCGGGGCGCCTCCTGCGGGCCGCGGGAGGAGCTGTAACCAGGTCTCGCCCTCCAGGCCGCCCCAGCGGACCCGGGCCCGACCGAGGTCGGGGTGCAGACCCAAGGTCGGGCATCTCCTCGGGCGCGCGGGCCCCAGCGCGCGCTGGCCTGGCCGCGGTTGCCATGGTTGCGGGGGGACGGGGCGCACGCGAAGCCCCGCCCCGGCCCGGCGCAGCCCCGCCCGCCCCGCTGCCCGCTCCGCCCTCCCTGCCGTCCGCGCTGCCGCCGCCGCCGCCGCCGCCGCCGCCGCCGCTACTGCTGCGGGGGCCGCGGGGGGCGCAGCTGGGGCGCGGCTCGGAGGGGAGGCTAGGGGGCCGTGCCAGGCTAGAAGCCGAGGCGGGGCCGGGATGCGGCGCTGAGGCCCAGCATGGCCAGCCCGTGCCCCACCTTCCCGCTGCACCGGCTCGTCTGGGCGAACCGGCATCGCGAACTGGAGGCCGCACTGCACAGCCACCAGGTGAGGCCCCGCTGAGGCACCCGGCCCGTCCCCCGGGTCCCCCACCCAAGGCTGTGGCCTCCGTCCTGGAGGCCGCCCGCCCCTGCTCAGCTCCGCAGCGACATCCTGGGCCTTCCTCCCCTGCACAATCCCAAGCCCAGATCACCGGCCCCTCGCGCTGGAGCCTCTGGCCTCGTCTATCCTGCGCTGGGCCTTGCCCTGCTCGCCCGAACTCGCTTCCGCTTCCCCTCTAAGCCAGGCTGAGAACGAGAACCCTGGTCCTCGTCCCCAGGCTCCGACAAACTCCTGACATCCTACACCTCTGCCTGACCAGGCCCCGCCGCCAGACCCCCGGCTCTGCCCCTGCCCTCCCTCCTGCCCTCTCCTCTCCCCTGCCAGGCCACTCTCTGCCATCTCCCTGGTCAGTCTGCCGTCCTTGTTTCCCACAGCGATTCCCAGCTCTGCTCGCCCTGGCAGCTTCCCTGCCTTGCCCTCTTCTCTCCTGCCCTTTTTGAGTGTCCCGTCTCCCCCAGCACGACATTGAACAGGAGGACCCCCGCGGGCGGACCCCGCTGGAGCTGGCCGTGTCTCTGGGAAACCTGGAGTCTGTGAGAGTGCTCCTTCGACACAATGCCAACGTGGGCAAAGAGAACCGCCAGGGCTGGGCAGGTACTGCAGAGGACAGGGGCTCCCCCTGAGGCTGGCAGGCGGGGGGCAGTGAGCAGCCAGGCCTGGGGTCATCTGGAGGGCTCCCCTCAGCAGCCTGGTGCCCGCAGTCCTGCAGGAGGCAGTCAGCACTGGAGACCCTGAGATGGTGCAGCTGGTGCTCCAGTATCGGGACTACCAGAGGGCTACACAGAGGCTGGCGGGCATTCCGGAACTGCTCAACAAACTTCGCCAGGTACAGCAGGGCACAATTATGGAGGTAGGGTACCATGGCAGGGCATCACCTGGTTACTGTGCCAGGCCTTGCCTTGGAAAGGCACCCAGTTTGTGCAGTGTGCCTCCTGCCACCAGCGAGGAGGTCTATCTTGACCCCAGCTCAGGGTCACGTAGGAAAGAAAGACGGCCAGGCTCATGTGGGAGACACTGGGCCCTTTGGAAAAGAAGCCTTGTCAGCTTTGGGCCTCCTGAAGAATGCAGATTACCTGGAGCGGGGACTTCAGATTGACTCCCTGGATTATGGCCTGAGCCCCTGGAATACCTGCTACTATGCACCCTTCTGGAAGCACGCAGAGGGGCCTGGCTGGCAGAGCATACTACCTCATACCCCCTACCCGAGGAGCAGGCTCAGAGGGAGCCACTGTGCCCCCTTCACAGAGTAGGACTCTGAGACCCAGTGGAAGCAAAGGCTCCCCAGTGCCCTGCACAGGCTCATGGCCAGGTTGGGGCTGGCCCTCCACTTCCAGGTGCTTACAGCCTCATTGCCCGAAGACCATTGTAGGGCCCCACTTGGCCCACTCTCTCTTGGGCAGAGTGGTTGGGCGTAGTGGAGCCATAGCAGTGCATCCAGACTTGATGAAGGGTCAAGTGTTGTGGCTCACGCCTGTAATCCCAGCACTTTGGGAGGCCAAAGTGGGAGGATCACTTGAGCCCAGGAGTTCAAGACCAGCCTAGGCAACATGGCGAAACCCTGTCTCTACAAAAAATACAAAAATTAGCTGGGAGTGGTGGCACACACCTGTGGTCCCAGCTACTCAGGAGTCTGAGGTGGGAGAATCACCTGAGCCCAGGGAGGCAGAGGTTGCAGTGAGCTGAAATTGCACCACTGCACTCCAGCCTGGGTGACAGAGCAAGTCTCAAAAAAAAAAAAAAAAAAGAGAAGGGCTGGGCTGGCTGTGGACAAGGGGCTTCTGGGCCTGCTGGAGACAGCAGCAGGCAGGACCCTGACGAGCAGCTCTGGTTTCTCTTAGGCCCCTGATTTCTACGTGGAGATGAAGTGGGAGTTCACCAGCTGGGGTGAGTGGGGACCTCTGGGCTCCCAGGGATTTGGGGTGGGGCTTTTGGGAAGACCCCCAGTGACCCCTGTGCACCCTGCAGTGCCCCTTGTGTCCAAGATGTGCCCGAGCGATGTGTACCGCGTGTGGAAGCGGGGTGAAAGCCTGCGAGTAGACACCAGCCTCCTGGGCTTCGAGCACATGACCTGGCAGCGAGGCCGGAGGAGCTTCATCTTCAAGGGCCAGGGTGAGCTCTGGACACACTCACTGCAGCATCTCGGCCCTCAGGTTCTCCCGCGGCTTGGGAGGGCAGTGCTGCCCTTTCTCTCCACTTTCCAGATGTGGAAGCTGAGGTTGGGGAAGGAGGGGGATCCAGGGGCCAAGGCTGACCCACTTGGCAGCAGGCAGCTGAGAGTACATGATCGCCCTCTCTGCGCTGCTGGCATCCAGCTCTGATTTGCACCCCCTCTGTCCACCCCCGCCGGCCGGCAGAGGCAGGAGCCCTGGTGATGGAGGTGGACCATGACCGGCAGGTGGTGCATGCGGAGACACTGGGGCTCGCTCTGCAGGAGCCCGAAGCACTGCTGGCCGCCATGCGGCCCAGCGAGGAGCATGTGGCCAGCCGCCTCACCTCTCCTATCGTCTCCACCCACCTGGACACTCGTAATGTGGCCTTTGAGAGGTCGGTCGGGGCCTGGCACACCGTGGGTGGGATGGGGACAGACAGCAAGAGCCACCCTTAATGAGGGCAGGGCGATCCTTGAAGACCCTGGTTCAGGCCTCTGGGCTCACTCACCAGGGGCTGCTCAGGGGCAGGCGGGTTGCTGCAGCCCGTGTCTCACTCAGACTGCCGGGGTAGTCGGGCTCCTGTGGCCACCTTTGTAGGGAGGGGTCAGGTCAAGATGTCCCCAGTTTCTTGACTTCTGACCTCATATGCTTTCCCATTAAGACAAAGATTTAGGCTGTGGTTCACGGCAGCTATTTGCACCAATGTTGGCTTGTCATTGGTGTGGCTGTGTTGGGGGCAGAATCCTTTGTGGGTAGCCTAGGAACCTGACCCTTCCAGCAAGAGCTTCTCTGACAACATATGCCCCCTCTTGCCTTAACAGTCAATGGAAACATTAAAAAAAAAAAAAGCTTTATTGAGATACAAACTCATATACCATATACATCACCCATTTAAAGCATACAGTTCAATGACTTTTAGTATATTTATTCACAGATTTGTACATCACCACAGTCAATTTTAGAACATTTTTATCACCTCACAAAGAAACCCCCCACCCTTGAGCTAACTCTTCGCCAAACTCCTCATCCCCTCTCCCAGTCCTGAGCAACCACTAATCTACTTTCTGTTTCTGTAGAATTCTCTATTCTGAGTTCTCATATGAATGGAATTTTATAGTATGTTGCCTTTTGTGTCTGGCTTCTTTCACTTAGTGTAATATATTCAAGGTTCATCCAAGTTGTAGCATGTAACTACTTCATTCCTTTTTGTGGTCATTGTATGAATATACCATATCTTGTTTATTGATTAGCCCATCAATAGACATTTGGGTTATTTGCATTATTTGGCGATTATGAATAATGCCACTCTTAAGTATTCATGTGCAAGTTTTTGTGTAGACATATGTTTTTTTTTTTTTTTTTTTTTTTTTTTTGAGACAGAGTCTGGCTCTGCCGCCCAGGCTGGAGTGCAGTGGCCGGATCTCAGCTCACTGCAAGCTCCGCCTCCCGGGTTCACGCCATTCTCCTGCCTCAGCCTCCCGAGTAGTTGGGACTACAGGCGCCCGCCACCGCGCCCGGCTAGTTTTTTGTATTTTTTAGCAGAGACGGGGTTTCACCGTGTTAGCCAGGATGGTCTCGATCTCCTGACCTCATGATCCGCCCGTCTCGGCCTCCCAAAGGTAGACATATGTTTTAATTTCTCTTTCATATGTTTTCATTTCTCTTGGGTATATACCTAAGAGTAGAATTGCCAGGTTATTGATAACTCATTAATTGAGAAACTGCCAGACTGTTTACCAAAGGAGCTGTACTGGTTTACATTCCTACCAGCAGCATGTGAGGGTTCCAGTTTCTCCACATCCTCATCAGCACTTGTTATTATTCACTCATTTGTTTTCGGAATCCAGCCAGCCTAGGGGGTGAGAAGTGATAGCTCACTGTGATTTTGATTTTCCTTTCCTTGATGACTAATGATGTTGCGCATCTTTTCATGTGCTTGTGTTTATTGGTCAGTTGTATATCTTTGCAGAAATGTCTATTCAGATCCTTTACCCGTTTTTTATTTAATTTAATTAACTTATTTTGAGATGGGGTCTGGCCTTTCACCCAGGATGGAGTGCAGTGACATGATCATGGCTCATTGCAACCTCGACCTCCCAGGCTCAAGTGATCTAAGTAGCTGGAACTACAGGTTCATGCCACCATGCCCAGCTAATTTTTAAATTATTTGTAATTATTTTATTATATCATTTAATTATTTTGTTTAGTTATTTGTAGAGACAGGGTCTACAGACTGATCTTGAACTCTTAGGCTCAAGCGATCTGCCTACCTTGCCCCCCAAAGTGCTGGTATTACAGGCATGAGCCACCACACCTGTCCCTTTACCCATTTTAAAAATTGGGTTGTCTTTTTGTTATTGAGTTGTAAGAGTTTTATAATTTTAGCTGTTACACTTACGTCTTTGAGCCATTTTAAGTTGATTTTTGTGTATAGTGGAAGGTTCTCTTCCATGTGACTATCCAGTTGTCCTAGCCCCCTTTATTGAAAAGACTATGCTTTTCCCACTGAATGGTCTTGTCACCCTTGTTGAAAATCAGTTGACCATAGATAAATGGGTTACTTTCTGGCTCCCAAGTTAGTTCCATTGGTCTACATGTCTGTCTTTATGCCAATATTATACTACCTTAATCACTATTGCTTTGCAGTAAGTTTTGAAATTGGAAAGTGTGTCTTCCTACTTTGTTTTGCTTTTTCAGGGTTATGTCAATATTTTGGGACCCTTGCATTTTATATGAATTCTATTTTCTTTTTTCTCACAACCCAGTGTAGGCAGAATATATGAATTCTAGATTCAGCTTGTCAATTTCTACAGTCAGATGGGCTTCTGATAGGGATTGCACTGAATCTATAAAGCAGTTTGGGGAATAGTACCATGTAAACAATGTTAAGTCTTCTAATCCATGAACATGGGATGTTTTTCCGTTTATTTGGATCTTCTTTAATTTATTTCAACATTATTTTATAGTTTTCAGAGTGTAAGCTTTGCACTTTTGTTACATTTATTCTCAAGTGTTTTATTCTTTTATTGTTTCTTTTTTTTGAGATGGAGTCTCACTCTATTGCCCAGGCTGGAGTGCAGTGGCATGATCTCGGCTCACTGCAACCTCCACCTCCTGAGTTCAAGCCATTCTCCTGCCTCAGCCTCCCAAGTAGCTGGGATTACAGGTGCCCACCACCACGCCCGGCTAATTTTTGCATTTTTAGTAGAGACAGGGTTTCACCGTGTCGGACCAGGCTGATCTTGAACTCCTGACCTCAGGTGATCTGCCTACCTCAGCCTCCCAAAGTGCTGGGATTACAGGTGTGAGCCACCGCGCCCGGCCACAAAGTGTTTTATTCTTTTTGATACAATTATGAATCAAATATTTTTCTTGGCCAGGCATGGTGGCTCACGCCTGTAATCCCAGCACTTTGGGAGGCCAAGGTGGGTGGATCATGAGGTCAGGAGATCAAGACCATCCTGGCCAACATGGTGAAACCCTGTCTCTACTAAAAATACAAAAAATTAGCCAGGCATGGTGGCGGGTACCTGTAGTCCCAGCCACTCAGGAGGCTGAGGCAGGAGAATAGCATGAACCTGGGAGGCGGAGCTTGCAGTGAGCCGAGATCGCACCACTGCACTCCAACCTGGGTTACAGAGCAAGACTCTGTCTCAAAAAAAAAAAAAAAAAAAGTGGTTAGAGCAGGCTGGGCATAGGGGCTCATGCCTGTAATCCCAGAACTTTGGGAGGCTGAGGCGGCCAGATCACTTGAGGTCAGGAGTTTGAGACCAGGCTGGCTAACATGGTGAAATATCATTTCTACTAAAAATACAAAAACAAAAAAAAATTAGCCAGGCATGGTGGTGAGTGCCTGTAGTCCCAGCTGCTTGGGAGACTGAGGCACAAGAATTGCTTGAACCCAGGAGGCAGGAGGCAGGGGTTGCAATGAGCCCAGATTGCACCACTGCACTCCAGCCTGGGTGACAGAGCAAGACTCCATCTAAAACAATAAACAAATAAATAAATAAATAAATAAAAAAGAAAAGAAAAGTGGTTAGAGCAGACATCTTTTATTCTTGTCTTGTTCCTGATCTTAGGGGAAAAGCATTCAGTCTTACCATTAAGTATGATATTAGTTGTGAGTTTTCGATAGATACCCTTCATCAGGTTAAGGTAATTGCCTTCCATTCCTCGTTTTTAGAGTATTTTTTATCATAAAAGGACGTTGGATTTTGTGAAATGCTTTTTCTGTGTTTATTGATATGACCATGTGCTTTTTTAAAAAATTCTATTGATACATTACATCAATTGACCTATGGATATTGAACCAACCTTGCATTCCTGTGATAAGTTCCACTTGGTTGTGGTGTATAATTATTTTCATATGTTGCTAGATTTGGTTGCCTCGTATTTTGTTGAGGATTTTGTGTCCATATTCACAAGCAATATTGGTCTGTAGTTTTCTTGTGATATATGTCTGCTTTTGGTATCTGGGTGATGCCTCATAAACTGAAGTGGGAAATGTCACGTCTTTGTCTATTTTTTCGAATAGTTTGCAAATAATTGGTATTAATTCGTCTTCAAAAGATTGGTAGGATTCAGTGGTGAAGCCATTTGGGCCTGAGCATGTGTGTGTGTGTGTGTGTGTGTGTGTGTGTGTGTAGTTTTTTGTTGTCGTGTTTACCAGTCAGTCTCTTGACTTGTTATCCGTCTATTCAGATTATCTATTTATTCTCAAATTAGTTTTGGTGGCTTGTGCCTCACTAGGAATTTGTCCATTTCATCTAAATTATAAAATTTGTTGGTGTACAGCTATTCATTATATCCTTTTATAATGCTTTTTATTTCTGTTGCTCCTCTCTTTCATTTCTGATTCTGGTATGTAATTTTCGTCTTTTTTTTTTTTTTTTGAGACAGAGTCTTACTCTGTCACCCAGGCTGTAGTGCAGTGGCATGATAAGAGCTTACTGCAGCCTTGAACTCCTGGGCTTAGGTGATCCTTCAGCCTCAGCTTCCCAAGTAGCTGGGACTACAGGCATGCACCACCGAGCCCAGCTAATTTTCTTTTTTTGTAGAGATGTGGTCTCACTATGTCATCCAGGCTGCTTTTGAACTCCTGGCCTCAAACAATCTTCCTGCCTTGGCCTCCGAAAGCACTGGGATTACAGGTGTGAACCACCGCCCCCAGCCAAGTCTTCTCTCTCTTTTTTCCCCACTGTGGTCAACCTAGCTAAAGGTTTGTCAATTTTGTTGATGTTTTCAAAGAGCCAGCTTTTGGTTTCATTAATTTTCTCTATTATTTTTCTATTCTCTATTTCGTTAATCTTTACTGTAATATTTATTATTTCTTTCTGCTCTTTCTGGTTTAGTTTGCTCTTTTTCCATTGTCTTAACGTGGAAGGTTAGGTTAAGGTTATTGATTTGAGATCTTCTTTCTTTCTTTTTTTTTTTTTTTTTTTTTTTGAGATGGAGTCTCGCTCTGTCGCCCAGGCTGGAGTGCAGTGGCCGGATCTCAGCTCACTGCAAGCTCCACCTCCCGGGTTTACGCCATTCTCCTGCCTCAGCCTCCCGAGTAGCTGGGACTACAGGCGCCCGCCACATCGCCCGGCTAGTTTTTTGTATTTTTTTTAGTAGAGACGGGGTTTCAACATGTTAGCCAGGATGGTCTCGATCTCCTGACCTTGTGATCCGCCCATCTCGGCCTCCCAAAGTGCTGGGATTACAGGCTTGAGCCACCGTGCCTGCCCGAGATCTTCTTTCTTAATATAGGCATTCACACATATTATATTACATTTACACTCCTAGGCATGTCTGTCTTTTCTTTTTTTGACATGGGGTCTCACTCCATCGCCCAGGCTGGAGTGCAGTGTCATGATCTCAGCTCACTGCAACGTCCGCCTCCCAGGCTCAAGTGATCCTCCCACCTCAGCCTCCTGAGTAGCTGGGAACACAGGCACCAGCTAATTTTTTCTGTTTTTAGTAGGGAAGGGGTTTCACCATGTTGCACAGGCTGGTCTCGAACTCCTGTGCTCAAGCAATCTGCTGCCTCAGCCTCCCAAAGTGCTGGGATTACAGGCGTGAGCCACTGGGCCTGGCCTTTACCTGTGTCTCATAAGTTTTGATATGTTGTGTCTTTATTCCTGTTTATCTCAGAGTATTATTTATTCCTGTTTATCTCAGAGTATTTTCTGATTTCTCTTTTGATTTATTATTTGAGACATTGGCTATTTGGGAGTGTGTTGTTTACTTTGCACATATTTGTGAGTTTCCAAAGTTTTTTTTCTGCTATTGATTTCTAATTTCATTCCATTGTGGTTGGAAAACATACCTTGTATGACTTCTGTCCTTTCAATTTTATTGAGGTTTTCTTTCTTTCTTTTCTTTTCTTTTCTTTTTTTTTTTTTTTTGAGATGGAGTCTCACTCTGTCACCCAGGCTGGAGTGTAGTGGCACTATCTCTGCTCACTGCAAGCTCCACCTCCTGGGTTCACGCCATTCTCCTGTCTCAGCCTCCCAAGTAGCTGGGACTACAGGCACCTGCCACCACGCTCGGCTAATTTTTTGTATTTTTTAGTAGATACAGGGTTTCATCATGTTTGCCAGGATGGTCTCAATCTCCTGACCTCATGATCCACCCGCCTCAGCCTCCCAAACTGCTGGGATTACAGGCATGAGCCACCGCGCCCAGCCTTATTGAGGTCTTTTTTTTTTTTTTTTTTTTAAGACGGAGTCTCGCTGTGTCTCCCATACTGGAATGCAGTGGTGCGATCTCAGCTCACTGCAAGCTCCACCTCCTGGGTTCACGCCATTCTCCTGCCTCAGCCTCCTGAGTAGCTGGGACTACAGTCGCCCGCCACCACGCCCAGCTAATTTTTTGTATTTTTAGTAGAGACAGGGTTTCACCGGGTTAGCCAGGATGGTCTCGATCTCCTGACCTCGTGATTTGCCCGTCTTGGCTTCCCAAAGTGCTGGGATTACAGGCTTGAGCCACCACGCCCGGCCGGTTTTCTTTTTTTTCTTTTTTTTTTTTTTTTTGAGACGGAGTCTCGCTCTGTCACCCAGGCTGGAGTGCAGTGGCCGGATCTCAGCTCACTGCAAGCTCTGCCTCCCGGGTTCACGCCATTCTCCTGCCTCAGCCTCCCGAGTAGCTGGGACTACAGGTGCCCACCACCTCGCCCGGCTAGTTTTTTGTATTTTTTTAGTAGAGACGGGGTTTCACCGTGTTAGCCAGGATGGTCTCGATCTCCCGACCTCGTGATCCGCCCGTCTCGGCCTCCCAAAGTGCTGGGATTACAGGCTTGAGCCACCGCGCCCGGCCCGGCCGGTTTTCTTAATATGGTCTTGAAGAGTGTTCCGTGTGCATGTAAGAAGCGTGTGTGTGGTTGTTATTGGGTAAAGTGTTCTGACCTGTTTATAAAGTCTAGCTGTAGTATTGTTCTTAATCTTCTGGTTCTTTGTTGATCTTCTAGTTGTTCTATCCATTATTGAAAGTGGAGTACTGGAGTCTCCAACTGACATACTTTTATTTTAGCTTTTTATTATGGAAAATTTTAAGCATATATGAAAGAAGAGATAATGTACTTACTCATCACCCAGCTTCAACATTTATCAACATCTTGCCAATCTTACTGAATCTGTCCTTCCTTACCTTTTTTTAAAATTTTTCCTAGAGTATGTCAAAGATCATCCCAGATGTCCTAATGTTTCTAGTAAATGTTTCTGCACAATTCTAAAAGATAAGGATGTTTTTAAACCCAGCCCCGACACTATCATACCTCACAAGATTCATGCTAATTCCTCAGTTTCTTCTAGTCCCAAGTCCATGCTCAAGTGTCCCCCGCTGTCCAGGCACCCTATTCAGGGGTCCTCCATGTTTCACAGTGAGAAGGGACCCTCAGAGTTGGGCACCCCAGGCAGGCTGATTGGAGGGGGATTTGGAAAGAAAGGCTTTGGCCAGGGTGTGAGGGTACAGGTCCTCACCAGCTCCTGTTTGGTCTGTTTCAGGAACAAATGTGGTATCTGGGGCTGGCGGTCTGAGAAGATGGAAACTGTTAGCGGCTACGAGGCCAAGGCAGGAGAGGCTAGTGGTGGGGGGCTGGGGGTAGGAGATGAGGTCCAGGAACTCAGCTCCTCTCCACATCCATCCCAGAGTAGCCCTTGGGCTCTGGAAACCCTGAGCGTTTGTGGGAATTCAGCGGGCCTGAGTGCCCATCCCCTGCAGAGTACATAGGGCTCACCCACATCACGGGCCCCTACCCAGGGTACCAAGATGAAATGAGGAGCGTGTTCCTCTTGACCCTGGGGCTGCATCTCCTCGTTGGTGACTTCCCAGGGTTCAAACCCTGCCATCTCCTCTATTTTGGGGAGCAAGATCTCATCTGTCTCTGGGACAGGAGGACTTGGGTTCTGCATTGGTGAGGCTGAGTGTGGGGAGCAGGCTCTGAGCCCCCAGCTCCCCGTGTCCCCTGCTCCCCAGGTGTACAGTGCCACCAACGTGGAGCTGGTGACACGCACACGCACGGAGCACCTCTCTGATCAGGACAAGTCGAGGAGCAAAGGTAAACCCAGGTGCGCCTGCCTGCTGCCTAGTCACACCATGTGGTGGGGCCACCCTGGCCTGGGGTCAGGGGCCAGAGTTTCCCGGGATGAACTGGGAGGCCTCCCCATTCCCGTCTGCCCCCTCTTCCCCGAGACAGGAGGCTCCCAGGGTGGAGGTGGGTGGGGACAGTGCGGGCATAGTGGCCCCCTCACCGGCTCCCACCCCTTCTCCGTAGGGGGGAAGACTCCGTTCCAGTCCTTCCTGGGGATGGCCCAGCAGCACTCCTCCCACACCGGGGTGAGCCAGGGATGGGCTGAGACAGGGCCAGCGGGGGCTGAGCCTGGGCGGGAGGGCGCGCGTCATCACCCTGATCGCTGAGTCTGCCCTGGAACCCACGCAGGCCCCTGTGCAGCAGGCAGCCAGCCCCACCAACCCCACAGCCATCTCCCCTGAGGAGTACTTCGACCCCAACTTCAGCCTGGAGTCACGGAACATTGGCCGCCCCATCGAAATGTCCAGCAAAGTACAGAGGTGAGGTCTGAGAGCGGGCTGGGGACTTGCCTCGGGACGGGGGCTCTTGCAGACCCCTCTCTGGGCCTGTTGTAGTGAGGGGCCCACTCCCTCAGCTGGCTTCTCTCTGGACTCCACTCCTGGAGGCAGGAGTCATGTCTTATCCATGGTCCTCAGCCCTTAGAAAGGGCTTGGCACAGATGACCAGTAGCTTGTCTTTGATGGATGGATGGTGCCACCCATGTATGGTTTTTTATTTAATTTCATGAGTACCTGCTGGGGCCAGCGTGGCACGGTGGGAAGGGCCCCCAGTGACATGGCCTGGGAGTGGCGCGTCCACCTTGGTGGAACAGAACAGTTATGCTTTTGCCCCGTGAGGAGCCCTGAGCAGGTGTAGGTGGTAACAGCAGGCACAGTGCCTGCACAAGCCTAGCACTCTCACCACCATCTCAGGAGGATTCTTTTAGCCACCACACAGTTGCTGGGATTCAAACCCTGACAGTCTTGCCCTGGGGTTTGCTGCACACAAAAGTTTGGCAACACGTGAGGCCAGCTCTGGGCTGAGGAGGAGAACGGGGCGATGGGCCAGGCCCAGAGAGAAGCCCACAGCCTGGCACCTGGCCTCCTTGTCCAGACCAGATGAGCTGGTGCGAAATCCTCAGGAGCCCCAGCCTGGGCCCAGGGAGGAGGGCAGCTTGGGCCACGTGGCCAGGACACCAGCTCCCAGGGGAGGCAGGCAGTGGCATCTGAGCAGAGCAGGGCACCCCAGGCCAGGCAGAAGGTGGGTAAAGGCAGCTGCCCACAAACCAGAGGGCAGTCCTCAGTGGAAGGGCCACCAGCGGAGCCTTACCCATGTCCTGTGGTCGGCTGGGCAGGTTCAAGGCAACACTGTGGCTGAGTGAAGAGCACCCGCTCTCCCTGGGTGACCAGGTGACACCCATCATTGACCTAATGGCCATCAGCAATGCTCACTTTGCCAAGCTGCGCGACTTCATCACCCTGCGCCTTCCACCTGGCTTCCCCGTCAAGATTGGTGAGAGGCTGGGCCCAGGCAGCGGGAGGACCTCAGGCATGGCACCCTCCCCTCAGCGCAGTCCCTGGGAGGCTACAGGGGCCGGAGGCGCAGGTGGCTGTCCACCAGGGCTCAGGTGTGGCTGTCTCCTCACAGAGATTCCCCTTTTCCACGTGCTCAACGCCCGCATCACCTTCAGCAACCTGTATGGCTGTGACGAACCCCTGAGCTCGGTGTGGGTGCCGGCCCCCAGCTCTGCTGTCGCCACATCAGGTACCCCCACGGGAGGAAGAGGTGGCCTGCACAGCTCTCTGGTCACCAAGTCCTGCGGGTTGAGCGTGGCCCCTCTGCCGCCTGCCTAGGGAACCCTTTCCCGTGCGAGGTGGACCCCACCGTGTTTGAGGTGCCCGAGGGGTACAGTGTGCTGGGCACGGAGCGCAGCGAGCCCCTCCGAGATGAGGACGATGACCTCCTGCAGTTCGCCATCCAGCAGAGCCTGCTTGAAGCGGGCACCGAGGCGGAGCAGGTGGGACTTGTGCAGGGGGTGGGCTCTGGCCTCTGCAGCCACAGGGCAGAAGTGACAGCTATGGGCTCTGGTGACTGCAGGTGACCGTCTGGGAAGCCCTGACCAACACCCGGCCTGGTGCCCGCCCTCCTCCCCAGGCCACGGTTTATGAGGAACAGCTTCAGCTGGAGCGGTGAGCCCCTCATGGAGCTGGCTGGGTCCCTGTCCCCCGAGCCCGGGTTTGGCGGGGAGGAGGATAGCAGGAAGGTGCCAGGACCCCAGGCCCTCTGCAACGCCACCCTCCGTCAGCAGCACTATCTGCCACCAAAGGTGGTGTGAGGGGTGGGGAAGCAGGGCCCTGCCCTGTCTCCTCTGCCTGCCACCCTGTCTTTGCCCTTGTCCTCCAAAGCCGGTCCCCATCCCCTCGGCTTCTGCCCCAGCCTTGGCGCTCACTCTCCTGCTCTTCCCTCCCCTGCCCTCCCTGGAAGGGCCCTCCAGGAAAGCCTGCGGCTGTCCACAGAGCCCAGGGGCCCAGGATCCCCTCCCAGGACGCCCCCAGCCCCCGGCCCACCCAGCTTTGAAGAGCAACTTCGCCTGGCCCTGGAGTTGTCTTCACGGGAGCAGGAGGAGCGGGAGCGGCGCGGGCAGCAGGAGGAGGAGGACTTACAGCGGATCCTGCGGCTGTCACTCACCGAGCACTGAGCCACAGCCCCGGGAGGGCTGGCCAGGCCACTCCCTGCCCGCTTTTGTAATTTATTTATTTATAAACTCTCTGCTGCTGGGCTTGGGGCCTGGAGCCCCAGGGATGGTCGGGCAGGGGAGACAGATGGAAATAAAGAGACTGTCGCAGCAGGGCACTCTGCTCACTGGGCTGGAGTGGTGGGGACCCTGAAGGTGGGGCGCTGTGGAGAGACACTGTGGGTGGCGGCCTCAGACCTGGGCTTGAATCCTGGCCATGGTCCCCTTAGCCTATCTGAGCCTCAGTTTCTTCAGTTGTAAAATGAGGAGACCACCCCCCACCCTCTGCCCCTCAGGGCTGAACGGAGCTGGCGAGAGTCACATGTCCTTACCAAGCAGGCGTCCTGTGACAGATCCCCTGTGCCCTGTCCTACCTGCTGGGGACCCAGTTCGTCCTGCCTTCCAGCCTGGTCTTCTGGAAACCGGCCCACGTGCCTGTTGGGGAGGGAAAGGCAGGGTCCCCAGGCCCCATTCACCTCCAGCTGGGAAGAGCCCCCACACCGACCCCTGCAGCCAAGCCCAGGCCCTGGCCGTGACTGCCGCTTGTTCTCTACGGGTGGGATTGCGAAAGCCACTTCCCCCGCGTAGCTGGAAGTCCTGCCCTGCTCGCCTCCGAGGTGGACCTGAGAGCCCCTCTTGAGCTTCTGGGTTATTTGTAAACCCCAGGCCGTTTTCCCCGGAAGCCTGTTTCCCAGTGGTTCCTGTGGAGTGGGAACTAGCAGGCCGACCAGCAGGGAGAAATGTTTGGGGTGGGGGCCCTTGGCCGAGGGCGCGCCGTGCCTGATCCTCTCTAGACCTGTCCCCCACCCCCCGCCTCCGCTCTGCCTCCCTAGGACCCGCCTCTGCAGGGCACAGGACGCTGGAGGCCCAGAACAGCTCAGGTGCTCCCGCTGGGCCGGGCCGGGCGCTTCCTGGGAGGGGGACCAAACTCCCGGCCTCCAGCTTCTGCCCTCAGGGTCTCCGGGCTCCGCACCTGCGCCCGTCCCCGGCCTCGCCCCTGACCTGTGCCCAGGGGCTGGGCGGGCCGAACCGCGGAGACGGGAGGGACGGGGCCGGGCCGCCCTGAGAAGCCTCGCGGGTCCGGCTGGGCGAGTGTCTGTCCCTTTAAGGGCCGCCCCCGAGGAGGTGCCAGGCCCGGGTGGCGCCGTCTCTCCTTCCTGGTCCTGCAGGGCCAGGACTGTCCGCGGGGTTCAGGGAGGGGGCCGTGCCCGGTGCCAGCCCAGGTGTCCCCGGCCTGGCCCCATGGCCCTGGTCACAGTGAGCCGTTCGCCCCCGGGCAGCGGCGCCTCCACGCCCGTGGGGCCCCGGGTGAGTGTGGACCGGCCGTGGTGCCGCCCACGCAGTTGCTGCCCGGACTCGGGAGCGCGTCCTGCCAGCCAGCGGGCTCCTCTCGAACGGGGGCATGAGGAGGGGGCTGCGGGGCTGGGGCCGGAGGGCGCTGGGGGCCTCGAGGGTCTCCGGTACTGGCGCCTGGGCACAATCCAGAGCCCTGCGCGCCTCCCTGGCTGCGGAGGCCCCGATCTGAGCGCTCCGCCCGCCACCCTCGGCGCCCACCCAGCCGACCTGGCCTTGGGCCAGGGCTCCACGGGGCCTCCCGGTGGGGCATGGACTGGGGTGGGAAGACGATTGGCATCTGGCGCCTTTTCTGGCCTCCCCCCACCCCAGAATTCCTGAGAGAGGGGAGAGGACAGCCCTCCCCGCCCTCACCCTCCCCTGGGGCTGATCTCTCGGCAGGACCCGGCGGTCCAGAGAAGGAGTCGACTCCAGCGAAGGTGAGCACCGCCTCCCCCACGCAGATACTTCCGTCTGCCCCGGGCCTGGCCACGGCCGTCCTGGACTCCCGGTGCAGGGACAGAAAGCTCCCCGGAGGACGCGCAGCCGAAGCCCGCTGCCAAATTTGTGGGGCAGCGTTTCCGGTGGGACCGGCTGGTGGGCTCGCCGTAGGGCGACCTTTGCCTTCACCGTCCCCCTGGTCAGCTGGGGCTTCCTCACCCACTGCCCTGGGCTTTGGCTCAGGTGGTGGCCACGGGCCGAACGGCAGGAGGGCGTGAGGGGCCTGAGGACTCCTGGGTCCCCGACCAAGTTCCCAGCAGCCCCTGAGTTAAACAGGTGGGAGGGGAAAGGGAGCAGCCCCCATCCCCTGGCAGGTGAGCAAGAGTAGAGGGGCTGAGAGTTTGGAAGCCCCCAAAACTGGTTCTCAGTTTGGTGGCAGCATTGCCAAGGGGCCAAGGGGTTAGAAATGCAGATGCTCAGGCCTCCACTCCAGACCTATCGACCGCGTGGGAGCCCATGAATCCGTGCAGACAAGGGCTGCAGGTGAATGTGAGGCATGCTAGACTTTGAGAGCCCCTACCCTAAGGGGGATGAGGGGCCATGACAGTTGCCCACTGCCCTACCAGGCAGAGCTTTGCAGTGCTCCGAGGGGCTGTCCTGGGGCTGCAGGATGGAGGGGACAATGATGATGCAGCAGAGGCCAGTCCTGAGCCAGCGGAGGAGCCCCCGAATGAGGAGGAGCCCCACGGGGACCAGACAGACTTCGGGCAAGGATCCCAGAGTCCCCAGAAACAGGAGGAGCAGAGGCAGCACCTGCACCTCATGGTGCAGCTGCTGAGGCCGCAGGATGACATCCGCCTGGTGAGGGCCCATCTGGAGCTCCAGGGGGTGGGGCAAAGAGACACACCTGAGGGCAGAATGGAGCCCTGTGTGTGTGTGCTTGGGGAGCAATGGTGTGAGGGCAGGGAGCAGCCTGGGGAGTGTTGGGGTTACCCATACCCCAGTGACCCTGCTGTTTCAGGCAGAGATGTTTTGGCAGGGTAAGGTCATGGCTGCAGGTCTCTGGAAGGGAAAGAACAGGGGAGGTTTGTCCTGTGTGAGCCAATAGGGCCAAATTAGGTCCAAGAGGTGGGAATTCCAGAGGTATGTTTCTCCTCAACCAGTAGAAGACTTCCCTGATGACATGAGCTGTCCCTAAACGGACCAGTGCACAAGGCAGGCTTGCTGGACACCCACTGGGGGTGGATGTGCTGGAGGGACCGGGGCAGAGGGGAGGAGGATTCCAGCCACATGGAGGAAGGGAGTCCAGGTGGAGCCGAAGCACTGGTGTTCAAATGCTTGTGGAGACAGCTCGCCGTCCTCCGCAAGACATGGCAAACAGGATGCAGTGAATCTTCTGTAAAACTGAATTTACGACAGAAATATCATCCCCTATTGTGAGATTTTGTCCTTAGTATTTCTTTGGTGATAAACATTTCTCAAATGAAATGATAGCAATGGCAAGTGACAGGGTTTAAAAAACAAAAACAAAAACAAAAAACCTCCTTCTTGCTGGGCACGGTGGCTCATGCCTGTAATCCCAGCACTTTGGGAGGCTGAGAAGGGAGGACTGCCTGAGCCCAGGAGTTCAAGACCAGCCCAAGAAACATAGGGAGACCTCATCTCAATAAAAAACTTAAAAATGAGCCAGGCGTGGTACATAGGCCTGAGGTCCCAGCAACTTGGGAGGCTGAGGCGGGAGGATCATGTGAGCCTGGAGTTTGGGGCTGCAGTGAGCTGTGCTGGTGCCACTGTACTCCAGCCTGGGCAACAGAGTGAGACCCTGTCTCAAAACAAAAACAAAAACAACCTCCTTCCTCAGCAAAAACAAAAAATGTGCAACCTGTGTCAGTCCCATTCCCCACTTTTTTCCACACAGTCCCTCCTTACCCACTGATTTTACATCGGGGAAGAAGGGGGATGGGAGAGGAAGGAGCAGTGTCAGCGCTGTTCTGGGCCTGGGGTGTCTAGGTGGGGAGCAGGGTCCTTGGGGCCACTTTGACCCTGGGCTCCTCATCTCTCCCAGGCAGCCCAGCTGGAGGCAGCCCGGCCTCCCCGGCTCCGCTACCTGCTGGTAGTTTCTACACAAGAAGGAGAAGGTCTAAGCCAGGATGAGACAGTCCTCCTGGGTGTGGATTTCCCTGACAGCAGGTTCGAGCAGGGAGAGGAAAGGAGGGGCAAAGAGGTGAGGGACAGGGGGGACAATGGCTTTCCCTCTGTCCCCTGCCAGCTCCCCCAGCTGCACCCTGGGCCTGGTCTTGCCTCTCTGGAGTGACACCCAGGTGTACTTAGATGGAGACGGGTAAGCAGTGGCAACTGGAGGTCGGGGGGCAAGAGGGTGGAATAACTGAGTGTGACAGATGTGACGGGGCCTGGGCACCGGGGTACAGTAGAACTTTAGGTTGGGACTCTGGGGACTGCTCCCAGCTTCATGTCAGATTCACTGTGATCCTGAGCAAGGCACCTGACTCCTGGGCCTTGGCTGTATCCAGCAAAAGGACAGGTTCTCTGTCGCAGAACCTGGAGTCCGGCCTCACCTGTGCCTGGTCTCCTGCAGGGGCTTCAGCGTGGCGTCTGGTGGGCAGAGCCGGATCTTCAAGCCCATCTCCATCCAGACCATGTGGTAAGGACAGAGGCTGCCTGGACTCAGGCCAGCCTCTCCTTCGAAGGAGGCTGCAGGGCCTGGGGAAGGGCAGCAAGGGAACAGTGTGACCCAGCCTCTCCTCCTGTCTCAGGGCCACACTCCAGGTATTGCACCAAGCATGTGAGGCAGCTCTAGGCAGCAGCCTTGTACCAGGTGGCAGTGCCCTCACCTGGGCCAGCCACTACCAGGAGAGACTGAACTCCGACCAGAGCTGCCTCAATGAGTGGACGGCTATGGCCGACTTGGAGTCTCTGCGGCCTCCCAGTGCCGAACCTGGCCGGTCAGTGTGGGGAGGGGAGGGCCTGGGTGGACGGGGAAGGCAGGATAAGGCAGTGGGAGGCATGGTGGAGAGGGGAAGGGGCCCCTTGACTGAAGGGCTTTGCTCCCAGGCCCTCAGAACAGGAGCAGATGGAGCAGGCGATCCGTGCTGAGCTGTGGAAAGTGTTGGATGCCAGTGACCTGGAAAGCGTTACTTCCAAGGAGGTAGGTAGAGGGCCCGGGGAACGAGTCCCCTCCAGCAGGGGCCGCGAGCTTGCCTTTCCTGGGAGCCCTCCCCACCTTGCCTGTCTCCAGTCCTGAGCCATTCCTGGATGCCTTGGCCTTGGCCCTAATGCATCTAGATGGGACACGATGCTGTCCTCAGAGGCCCCAGAGGGAAGGT